TAACACTTCATAGTGGTTTCAATTTGCATTTCCCTGATAATTAGTGATGTTGAACACCTTCTCATGTAACTGTTAGCCATTTGGATGTCTTCTTTGAGAAAATATCTATTCAATTCCTTTGCCTATTTTTAATCAGATGGTTTGTTTTTTGTTTTTGTTTTGTTTTGCTATTGAGTTGTATGAGGTCTTTATGCAATTAGATATGAACTCCTTATAAGATATACATTTTGAAAATATTTTTCCTGGTTCCATAGGTTGCCTTTTCATTTAGTTCCTGATTTCCTTTGTTTTGCTGAAGCTTTTTAATTTGATGTAGTCCTAATTGTTTATTTTGGCCTTTGTTGACTTTGCTTTTGATGTCAAATCCAAAAATTATTGCCAATACTGATGTTGAGGAGTTTACTCCCTGTGTTTTCTTTTGGATTTTTATGGTTTCAGGCCTGCAGACCATTTTGAGTTGATTTTTGTGTGCTGTGTAAAATAGGGATCCAATTCCATTCTTCTGCATGTGGTTATCCAGTTTTTCCAACAACATATGTTAAAAAGACTATTCTTTTCCCATTGCTTACTCTCAGCTCCTTTGTTGTAAATTAATTGACCAGAGTGCATGAGTTTGCTTCTGAGGTCTCTGTTCTGTTCTGTTGATATATGGTCTGTTTTTATGACAATACCATATTGTTTTGATAACTATAGATTTGTAATATAATTTTAAATATAATGAGTAAAGAAACATAAAAATAATTCAGTAACAGTATTAGGATACAAGGAAGTGTAACAGAACTGTTTCAAATACTTTTAGATATTCTGGAATTCAAAAGTCAGATTGGATTGAATTTATAGTAAAACCATAATAAAAAACCCTGCAAACCAATGTATGTATGGAGGGTAGAATTATGAGTTAGAGAAAGAGGAATTGGAGAAGCTAAAACTTGGTGTGAAGATGGGAAGTATTCTTATTAAGAGATCCAGGGAATACTCTAGGCTTAAAATAAATAGAAATGATAATAGAAATGGAAGACCAGTCTTCAGTGGATTGATGAGGAAATTATTCTCATATTGAACTGTGTAGAGCAGATGAATGTGTTTAGTATCCTGTGCGCACAAAGTAACAAGGAAACCAGCTCCCTCTATAAATAAAGAGGATGCTGCTCTATCTCCAAATCCTGTCATTTCTGTGGGGCTGGATGAAGAGGATCAGGGCCAATTCAGAGACAGTGTCAGTACTCAAGGTTAGAAATAGAGAAAAAGTATGGAAAAGCAGTCCACTGATCAGCAAAATACACTATAGCATCACTGGCTTCACACATAAAACTTCTCTACTTCAGCAAAATAAGAAGAAACTCAGTGCACTTTTTCAGTTTTCTCTTGACAGCCTAAAGGGAATTCTGCCTGTGAGCAAATGACCTATAGAGCCCTACCATCAGGGCACAGGGGCTGTGACATTCACAGCCTCTGAGGAAACTCACACCACCTACCCAAACCAGTTAATTTTCATCAGTGAACAGACAAATAAGGGTAAGAATGCAAATTTTTGTGGAAAGCTAGCAAGAAAAGAAAGGTCAGTGCTAAATAAGTATAAAAATGAATCCACTAGAAAAAAAAAAAAAAGAATCCACTAGAGCCAAAGAGTGAATACAGGGGGAAAAAATAGATATAAAATAAGTAATAATATTTTGGTATCCTTTTTAATGCATCTTTGAGATGGTAGAAAAGTAAAGGAATCTAACTCAGCAGAGAAGAAAGTTAAATGCAAAAGGAGAGGGTAGGATGATGAGAGAATAGCACTGAAACATATACATTACCACACGTAAAATAGATAGCCAGTGGGAGTTCAATGTACCATGCAGGGAACCCAAAGCCAGTGCTCTGTGATGGCCTGGAGGTGTGGGATGGGGAGGAGGGGGGGTTCCAAATAGAGGAGACATATGTATACCTAATGCTGATTCATGCTGATATGTGACAAAAACCATCACAATATTGTAAAGTAATTATCCTCTAATTTAAAAAAAAAGAAAACCAAAGCTACCATTTCACCAAATGGCCATACAATTTAACTATTTTAATATTTTAATAATATTGATAAATATTTAACATGGATGACAAAAGTAAGCAGAAAAAAAACCACAAATAAACACTGCTAGGAATTAAGTAGGAGATACAGTACAGACACCGTGGAAAATAAAATATAAGAAGAAAATGACATAAACAGTTCTCTGATAGTAAATTTGAATGAGCACAAAATAAATGCATTTTACCCAAACAAAACCTTGCAAACATTTTCAAAGGAAATTCTAGAAGACATATGTATTCCACTGGAAAGATCTAAAACAAAAACACATATTTTTAGGTTTTAGTTAGTAGCCTCACAGAGAAGGCAATGGCAACCCACTCTAGTACTCTTGCCTGGAGAATCCCATGGACGGAGGAGCCTGGTGGGCTGCCGTCTATGGGGTCGCACAGAGTTGGACACGACTGACGCAACTTAGCAGCAGCAGCAGCAGTAGCTGCAACAAAGATTCCCCAAAGTACAGTGGCTGAAATCACCTACAAGTACATTTCTGTCACAGGTTTAAGTCAGGTTTGGTGGCCCAGAGAGCAATAGGACACAAGCTCTAAAATAATGTTACTCTGCCTTCTTCAACACACATGTCCAAGGAAGCTCCTTCACATCCACCTTCCAAGCATCAGAAAATGGTAAAACTGAAAGAGAGAGCAAATTACTCTTTGTATAATCTACTCAAACTAAGTACCTCTTACTTTGTTTCCAAATGAGTGTGATACACATTATCAAAGCAGTTACTTTCCAGTGGGTGTGATACAGCATAGCCTAGACTTCCCCTGGACAACTTACCAGAGTTTTAGGTCCTAGACCTAGAACCAAGGTGATGAGAACATGTCATTTCTCCTGCAATAAGAACCCATCCCAGTTCCTAACTCACCCACGTGTGCCAACCAAATTAAGGCTTAATACTCAGCTCTGTAACAGAAAACTATTTACTAGGAGTAAAATTTGCCAAAGAGAAAGAGAGAACAACTAGAAACACTAACCATTTACTCCGCCTTTTCTACCCTGACAGGAACCTCTCATCACTGGAGCATCTTACCTCTAAGTAGCAGTGACCTGATTTTTTCCAGGACTGAAAAGAATGTGTTACTTTTTAAGAATACAAAGTAATTAAGTCCAATCTCAGGGCACCATCCAACAATCAGAGTACAATACACCAACCGTGGCAAACCTTTTGTAAGTTTTGACACAGCTCTTATTAGCAGAAGTGGATGGAAGGCTTACGAACATCACTCCATCTCCACATTTCAGAAAGAAATGCTGCATTCTTTCAAGCAGCATAATTATTTATATAGGTATTAATAAACCTATGTTTACTAACACCAGACACTAATACATTATATGCTTGTCAGATACTTATAATTACATATTTGCTTTGCTTTGTTAAATTAAGACATAAAACAAATAAATATATATCTAATACTTGGTTTTATTCCCCCTTTATCCTAGTCAAAATTATGGATAAGTTAAAATACAAACAGGTATTTTAAAAATAAATTCACAATACACACACACACATATTCATATGCACATAAAGTGAGAGATATTTCCTTGGAAATAGAGATTATATCTTATTACTCTATGGACCTACTATAGTGCCTTCCCATCTTAAGTTTATTTTAAATAAATAAATAACATTCATATTGCAACAAAAGCTGTCTTCTCACACTGCTTTGAGAGGAACTCTGTTGCCACCCAGGAATGCAATAACCTAGAACTCACACCACTAATTTATAGGATTTGAAGACACTCTGAAACTAAAATCTGCCAAAAGATAGAACTTTCCACCCTTATCCCAGATAATCTTAAAAGGTCAGTTACTAGGTGAAGGCAGAAAAGATGACATATCCAAAGCTATCATCTTTTCTCTAATATTCAAGGTAGCAGTGACTTGATTTCTTCTAGTACTAAAAAAAAATTGAAACTTTTTAGAGACTTTAAAATAGTTAAGTTCAATATTAGGGCAACATCTGAAAAACAGAAAACAAAGCAATTGTGACAATTCTCTTGTAAGCTTTTACCCAGCTCCTGTTAGCAGAGATGGTAGGAGGTCTAATTGACATCACTAAGTAGCCACATTCCAGAAACAGTTTAAGTAGCATAACTGCTTCTACATTTACTAATAAAGCTGTGTTTATCAATACCAGACTCTAGTATGTGTTACAGTTATGAGACACTAATAAATACATAGCTACTTTTGCTTTGTTAAATTAGTACTTATAAAACACAAATATGTTCAATATTTCTTCCCTTTTTATCTTTAGCAAAATGATAGGTAAATTAAAACACAATAAAGTTAAAATACAAAGACCTTTTAAAAAAGAGAAACCACTACACATGTTTTTTCATTCAAAATAGAGATCATATCACGTTATTTCCAGAACCTATTATGTTACCTGCCCCACTTAAGTTTATTTTAAATAAATAGCACCTATGTTGCAGTGAATGGTATTCTCTCATATTGTAGCTGTCTCAAATGCTTTAAAAAAGACTCTTACTACATAGGTACCTGGTGACCTGAAGCCATAGCACTTACATCTTTGATGACACTCAGGACTAAAACTAGGCAAACATTAGAACTTCCCATACCCACTCCAGATGTGTTGTACAGTCAGTCATTAGACAGAGATAAGAATAATGGCATATTCAGAGCTATCATCTATTTCTCTTATCCTTAAATCCCTCCATCACCTGATGTAGAGAAATGTTAGGATCATGAAAGAAAGAATGGGGAAAATATCTACAAGTTGAGCTCTCCAGGCACATCCCAATCAGCTGTGGGGCCAAGTGTTCATGATGTTCTTTGCCACGAGACTATTACAACCAGAAGGACTTCTCACAGTAGCAGTGGACTCTATCCATATCGCCAAGACCAACCGTGGGCTCCTGGCAGCATGGCTGGCAAGAACCTCTGAAGAAAATACTTGGGATGTGTTCAGATCTGTCCTTTTATGTCAAACACCCTGAGTACTCGCTGGCGAATCTGCTGAGTCTTCACCCCATAGACCAGAGGATTGAGTGCAGGTGGCACCAGGAGGTAGAGTATGGCCAGAAGAACATGGACATGATGGGGCACCTGCTGGCCAAAGCGGTGAGTGAGGAAGGAGAATATTCCAGGCACATAGAAGACCAGGATGACACAAATATGAGATCCACATGTGCTAAAGGCCTTATGTCGGGCCTCACCCCCTGGTACCTTCAGCACTGCTTGCAGGATGAGGGCATAGGAAACACCAATGGCCAGGACATCTAGGCCAACCACAAGCAGTGCCACCGCCAGCCCATAGGCTCGGTTCACCGTGCTTTCTGAGCAGGCGAGTTTTACCACGGCCATGTGTTCACAGTAGGCATGGCCTATGACAGTGGCCTGGCAGAAGACAAGTCTCCTCAACAAGATGGGGAAGGGGAGGAGGAGGAGTATCCCCCGCACCAGCACCGCCACCCCGATGCGCCCTATGACCCCGGGATGCAGGATGGTAGAATGGTGCAGAGGGTGGCAGATGGCTACATAGCGATCCAGAGCCATGGCCACAAGTACACCCGACTCCATGGAAGAGAACGCATGGATGAAGAACATCTGGATCAGACAGACGGTGTGCCCAATCTCATGGGCGTGAACCAGGAGCACTGCAAGGGTTTTGGGTGCGGTGGAGGAAGCCAGCACCAGGTCAATGCCAGAGAGCATGGCCAGAAAGAGGTACATAGGCTGGTGCAAGGATGGGTCAGTCCAGATGGTGAGGAGGATGGTGACGTTGCCCAAGAGGGCAAGGAGGTAAAGGACACACAGCGGGAGTGCTATCCAGTGCTGGCTTTCCTCTAAACCTGGGATGCCGATCAGGAAGAAGGATGGCTGGATCAGCCTCCAGCTGGAATTCCGCAGGGTTGTCATCTAAATGGCTTAGAAAGGGAAGAGGCAAAAAGAAAATCATAATTTCTCCATTCCTGGTGCATTTTTTCTGTCCCCATAACTCTCTATTTCAAACTTTTGCTATGTCTGTCTCTTATCATGATGATCCTGTGCTCCTGAAACCCCCACTTAACAAGAAATATGAACTAAATATCTATCATGTTTAACTTCTGCAGAGTTAAAACAAAAATCTTTAAACTAAGTATGTCTGTGTATGTCTGTCTTAAAAGACAGACACAGTGTGAAATCATTGTCTTTTCAGTGTTAGAGAGGATTACACACTTGTATTTATGTCTTATCAGTAAGAGTCAGAAATGCTTCAGTTCTTGTGGATTATAAATTTATACATCACTTCAACTGTCTTTTTCGTAACTCAATGATAATGTAAAAGATTGCCCCGAAACTGTGACCATGGCAGGTACAAAATCTGAAATGCCTGGAAGGCTCATATCTACCACCTTTTGCTTTCCTTCCAGATTCAAATCCATAAGTAAAGGAACATTTTTCATTGACACCTCCAAGAGAATCTCACAATTTTACAAAACTTCACATTTCAGTGCTGAACATTCTACAGAATGAGAAAGTTAATTTTCTCTTAACTACTTCCCTTCTGCTACAAGTTTCAACCCCTTTCTCACGTCTCAGCTGAGGAGTCAGAGGACAGCTGAGCATTTGTGGAAGGCCACCACCCATTGCTCTGATAGGAGCAGTGTCAGCAGAACAGTGGAGGAAGATGAAGATAAACTTTAGTGGGCGAAGGAGAAGAGCAGAGACGTGCGTCTGAGCATAACCTGCCTCTTCTTTGTACTGTGTTGTTGTGAGTTTAGGGAGAAAGTTGAGAGCTGTTTGTTATGCATTAATTACTAAAGTAGACAAGAAATCCCCCAATGATTTGTAGAGGAAAAGCAAAAGGGACTTTATTCCCAGGAACCTAAAAATGAAGATATATTTAGCTCTCTGGCCAGAAGGCAGAGGACAAGTAACAAAATTTGAAGTTGTCCATTCCTAATTATTCATGTAAATTTAGTCCAAGTGACCTCTCTTCTGTGAAGCCTTCCCCAGATTCTGTGAGGCAGCCTGGCACGTCTCCTTTACTTTTCTCTAAAATCACCTTCCTGGCCATGTCATTGCACTGATTACTTTGAACTGTAAAACTCATTAGTGTGTCGGTCCTTTAAAAGTGGGGACTATGCCTTGCTTATGGGCTTTCCTAGTGGCTCAGTGGTAAAGAATCTATGTGCCAATACAAGAGACGCAAGTTCGATCTCTGAGTGGGAAGATACCCTGGAGAAGGAAATGGCAACCCACCCCAGTATTCTTACCTAGAAAATCCCATGGATAGAGGATCCTCAAGGGCTATAGTCCACGAGATTTCAAAGAGTCAGACATAACTTAGCAAATAAGCATGCATGCATGCCTTGCTTATGGAAGCAGTCACAGGGCAAGTCCCAGAAAGGCCAGAATTTAATTGGTGCCTGGTAATGTTTGGTGAATAAATAAATATCTATATGACTACATTTAAAATAAATAAATGAGTATATATAAAGCAACCAGGAATTATGAGAACTTGACAAGACAGACCCTTAACTTAAGGGACAGGAATGATATGGGGGGAGAGGGGGGCATCTATGAGACATGGACTGATTGAGCCTCAGTGCTCCTCACCAAGTGATATTCTGGGTGCCTCATGGCAGAAGAACCACCCTGAACCTCTCTGCCATAGGAAGCCGTAGCAGAATCCAAGGTGTGTGTCCGAAATGAGGAACTCCTCATGGTGGTCAGTTCTACCACTGTCTCAGTCACTACAGGCAAGAAGGCTCTTCTGTAGGCTGTGGCCTGTCCCTGCCTCATTAATCTCCTTCTTTACAGTGGTGTGGATTTTATGATTGTAGTAAGGAGAGATGCAGGGACACAGATAGAGATTACGTGAGGACACAAAAAGTGTGCGTTCGTGGGGATGACCTACTAGGAGCGAGAAAAATAGAGATCAAACCCTCAGATGTAGAGGTCAAATGTCAAATCTGAGACACAGAAATAATCAATAAAACCCCTAGAACAGGGGTATTGTTCTCTTGACCTCTAGGCTATCTTCTGAAAATGCATGCTTTACAATCCCAACGTGTGTGTGTGTGTTAGTTGCTCAATCATGTCTGACTCTTTGTTACCCCACAGACTATAGCCCACCAGGCTTCTCCATCCATGGGATTCTCTAGGCAAGAATACTGTCAGTTCCAACATAGGATTGAGCAAGACTTAGCAACATGAAGAGAACTTAGAAAGAGGAGAAAATTCCCAGACTCAAGAAGGTTTCACTATGACCCTCTCTGCTCAGCTGAAGAAATCTAGGCCCAGTTCTCTCTCCATGATGATCTTCTGCCTGGCTTGGAAGTATCAGTGATATAGAAGATTTTACATCCAGAAGGCCCACACAAAAATCTCTGAATCCCCAAGAGGAAACAAAACGCATCACATTGGTCTGGGCAGCTCAAGTTTTACAAGGATATGAAGCGTGGTACTAGCTCTGGCAAGACTTGGTTAAATTAGGTAAATAAGACATACCTACATGCACAACATGTGATGAGGATGCCAACCTAGGAGGATGCTAAAGGCCCCTGTGAATGGCTCAGCTGACCATGGAGATTTACTGGCATTGAAAAATATATGCAAGCTCACAGATTATCTTGCAGTATCTGTGATTTGAAGGGCAGAAGCAAAGGGGATTGAAAGAGAGTGGGTTAGTTTTGAGGAATCAGTTAGTTTGGAGGATAACATCTCTGAGACAAAGGAAAATAAGCTTAGAACTACTAAGAGGTGTGAAACATAGTAGAAGACTCAGAGCCATAGTAGTCAACCAAGAAATAACTCCTATTGCAAGGATTATGGGAAAGGTGGAAGTCATATCCCAAGAGCCTTCCCCAGAACCTTAAGCTCCAAACCTGACCTCACTTTCCACAACTGAAATACAATGCAAAAACTTTTAGCTTGTTCTGTCATCCTCACTCTGAAAGGCAAGTCCATTCTTGTACTACCCCAAGGTAGGGTTGGTGACTGCAAAAAAAGGCTGAGCAGGGAAAGTGTCATTACCAATCTGCAGGTCCCAGAGGACACTAAAAACATGCCTGGACAGAGCCAGAGTTAGCCTCAAGAATGACTGGAGGTACACAGAGCCATCTTCTGCCCCAGGGGTAGCTGGTTGGACAGAGAGACAGAGCAGGGAGTGGCAACTTCACCTGATCCGGGGTTCCGTTTGTCCAGTGTTGATCATCAACCCCAAACCTGTACATCCTGATGCCTCTGAGGATGGCTCATGCTCAGTGAGCTAGGAAACCCACATTGCTCTGTAAGCTCAGACTTCTCAAATTCACAGGTCAAATTCAGCCCCAACAAATTCTTCAGTGGACTCCATGGTTAAACGTGTTCATTCCTCCATCTGTTCAAAGGTGCTAAAAGCCCATAAGTAAGTCACACTCCCTTGCTGACTCATCCAAGACAATTTTCCTTCCTGAGTGCAGTTCTCAGCCAGTGTCTGGTTTATATACAAACACACAGACTTGACCCTCTTTGTTCACTTTGAAACAACACTGAAAACCATCCCCCTCAAGAGCATCGCATAGAATTAGCTTAGGTATCTAGGGTAACTGGATCATAGTTTAACCTCTTTCTCTTCTCCATATTACCCTGACATCCTGAGAGATATAACCAGGTATAATTTTCAAGTATGCCTCACAATAAACTTCTTGCATACAAACCTCCAAGTCTTACTCTGGAAAATCCAACCTATGACAAATGCCACATGTTTTTGATGAATTGACTGCTTCTCTCCTAGAGGATTGTGACAGGTCCACAGACATCAACTCCATTCCTACAGCAAGTATGAGATAAATATTGATCCTGAAACAGCTCCTCTGAGCAGGTTCCCAAAGAGGCAGACTAAGACCTTTGTCATCATATCTAACCAAAATCCCAACCATAACTGTGGTATTTTAGAACCCAATGCATGAACGCTAAGGTTAATCTGAAAGAATAAACACATAAAAAGAGATTCAAAATTGTAGTTTTAAGTTATATGGTCCTGTTGTGCATTAAATTTTTATAAAAATAGACTATTTAATTCAGTTTGACACTGGCACAAAAATAACTAGGAAGACATATGAAACAACAGATTACCCAGATATAGAATTAATGCATGCATATGTGTGTGTTTAGTGGCTTCAGTCATGTCCAACTCTTTGTAACCTTATGGACTGTAGCCCGCCAGGCTCCTCTGTCCATGGGATTCTCCAGGCATAGAATTAATACATATAAAAATTATGTATATGACAAAGGAGGCATAATAATCAGTTGGGGGAAATGTAGACACTCTTTTTTAATAATTCAAAATCAATCTCTTTACATACTTCTCATTAACATCAAAATTAATTTCATATAAATGTTATGTCACAAAACCAAAAGCTCAGCTATTTAAAATTTAAAGGCTAAGAAGTGAATATTGGTCAAAATTTTGAGTAAAGAATAGTTTTCTGCACTTCTTACTTCAGGAGTGAAATGTTCTAAAAACTTCATGAAAGCTAAGTAGACTCTCTCCTAGTGGTAATAAATAATCATGATGATAAGAGTAATAACAATGATTAAATTTGTTTCCATATGTTTACAAAGTTCACAGACTACCATAGAGAACATTTGTAAATTCCTGGTTAACAACTTCACTGTAAGCCTGAAACATCTAAATAAAGCCTGAAAGAAAATACTATATGTTTGGGGAGGAGCCAAGATAGCGGAGGAATAGGACAGGGAGACCACTTTCTCCCCTACAAATTCATCGAAAGAACATTTGAACGCTGAACAAATTTCACAAAACAACTTCTGATCGCTAGCAGAGGACATCAGGCACCCAGAAAAGCAGCCCATTGTCTTCGAAGGGAGGTAGGACAAAATATAAAAGATAAAAAGGGAGTCAAAAGAGCTATGGATGGAGACCCGTC